CTTTAGGGCAAGTCACAGGTTCTGCTGGGCCTGTACTGAAGCACCTAGGTGGCTGCTCATCCTGCAGCCCAGTCTCTTAAGTGGCAGCAGGAACACGCTTACATCTTACATTTCAGGGAAGATGTAAAATAATTATTTTGTCCCACACCTCAAGGTTACAACTGCTGAGTTCCAATTCCAATACTGCATTATTTCAATGTCTTTTGTTGCTAAGAATAACACTTAAAATTCTGCCACAGCCAAGAGGTAAGAGCTGAAATACTCTAAGTGACAACCTTAATCCTGTTCCTTTAGCACAACCCAGAAAAAAATGCCATCTTTAGAGTTCCCACAGAATCTGCCAACATTCCGTACCAGGTAAGCTCCTTAGGGAAATAACTCCTGGCTCTTTCCTACATGCCAACAACTCATGTTTGACAGCCAATCTGCTGCCATTTAACACAAAGTTAATTAGTGCAAGGGACCATAATTCCCCCTTCCTGTGGCTATCTGTGAATGCTTTGACAAACTCACATGCTGCATATTTAAAGCAAATCTTATACTGAAATCATCTTGTTCAGGTGCTAAGTCATGCTGACATCAAAAGACACTACAAATCAAAGCAATTAAAACATTAATGCTTTAAGCTCTAGAGATTAAGTTTACACAACAAGAACTAAGGCATGTTACTGCCTAGATGTGTGCAGTCACTTTATGAGCATGATCAAAACTATTAGGGGACAAAGGCAAGTTGTTTTCCCTTCACTGCTAAAGAGTTAAGGAATTCAGATTTTCCTGGCATGAACAATGTGCATTTGCCAGCTCTCAAGCTCATAAAACAGAACCTGCTATGTCTCTGGCAGAACTATGCATCCATTGTGACTGGCCCAAACTTCTTGCTATGAGCTCCTCATTGGCCAACAAAAATACCACCATCAAAGAAAATTAAAAATGTTTATTCAGAAACTAGAAATTGGCAGAGTCCCCATTTGAATTACTATATAATTGACCTTAATTTCACTTAACTGGGACTATTACACCCCAGCTTGCTGCTTCTCCAGCATGAATAAAGGACACGCTTGAATGCGCCAATATATAAAGCTGATAGAAAAAAGAAAGAGGGTGTATGCTTCCCATTGTCCAGACAACTCTTCTATAGGGAAGCAAGTCAAGAATCTTTATAGAAATTGCTACACAAATTAGCTGTTTCATTGGAATGAGCAGCACCAAGGTTTTGGAACAGCTTGCATAAAGCTGTGAGTGCTTCCACAGCCCAGCAGCACTGGCTGCAGCTGAGTTCCCTGACGCCCGTCACCTGGGAACAAAGCACTACCATTCTCAGCTTCCAGCAACTAACTGTGCTCCTAAGAACTCCACCCAGCTAAAGGACTTGTGAGAGTGACACTGTTTGGTTACACAGAAGCTTGCTCTGACACAAGAAAAATCAGCAATATCAGAGCTTTGTAAACAAAACCAATGTAAAACTCAGTGTATCAACTGTTGTACTGCACTGCTTTGGAGCCAGACACATACCTGCACAGAGGAGGAAAGCTCGCACTTGGCTTTCTCTGATGCTTCTCTCACCCTCTGAAGGGCCATGTTGTCTTTAGTCAGGTCAATGCCCGTCTGAGTGACAAACAACAGGGTTAACACTCTCACTTCATTTCAGTTCATCTTCTTATCCCTCTTGACTGTAAAGATATTTCTGGAACACAGCCTGATATGTGCACTTGCATTGTTCTCTCACTTCTGTCAGAGGTATTTAGCATTTCAAATCTGCCAGTCCTCTGCTCTGGGAAGTGGTTATACAGTAAGTTACACATTAAAGCTTGGAAAAGCTGCTGCATCACAGAATATTAAGACAAGACTGAATTAGCAAAGGAGTTGGAATCACAGTGCAGCATCCTCCAGCCAACCTGCATTGTGTGCATCTGTGCTGCCATGTTCAATTGGACCACAGACTTATTTTTCAAAGTAAGCAGACTGTGTACAGGATAGTCCTGCTCACTAGAAGAAAAAACACACATGTTGTGCTTTTTTATGTCTTCCAGGAGAGGAATATTCCACCTCAGGAAAACAGGTGTCAGAACTGGAAGCCAGCCTAACAGGTGCCTAATACTCTTAAATTTCAACTATGCCACAGATGACAAATCAAGTCCTAATAATCTAAGAAAATTCCCATTCTTCTAAGGAGTGAGGTTGAATAGCAGTGTAACACAGGCCTGTGCTCTGAAGAGACACCTTACCTCTCTCTTGAACTCTTTCACAATATACTGTAGCAGAGCCTGGTCAAAATCTTCTCCACCTAAGAAAGTGTCGCCATTGGTGGACTTCACCTCAAAGACACCCTTCTGGATTTCCAGCACAGAAATATCGAAGGTGCCACCACCCAGGTCATAGACTGCAATGCTGCAAGGAGAGAGGCAGGGAAACATGACATTTAGGCAGAGCTGTGGGATCAAGTGTGCAGAACTCACAATGCTGCCCACAGAAGTCAAAAGCCTCTCTAAAGACAGCAGTAAACACACTTCACAGTGCACACACCCCTGAGCACTCCCAGTCCATGTGGCAGACACGTGCAGGGTGCCTAACCTCACCTGTTACTCCAGAGGGAGCAGTTCCTTCCTCTTCAAACCAGACACACATCCAGTGACAAGGGCAGGGACACCAAATGATGAAATGTGTTTTTCAAAAAGTGAAGCTTTCACAGCACCACCATCAGATACACAGAATCTCTAACAAACAGCCTGCACTTGTGCAGCCACCCCTGACAAGCACAGAGGGCTGAATGCACTCAGGGAAGCTGCAGCCTGTGGACACCTGGTACACCTCAGCTACCCTGGAGACAGGCTGCCACCCGCTGACCTCAGCCACACCTATCACTGCCACCAGTGGGCAAGATTATTGACACTCAGGTTCGATAATTAAGCCGTAGTTACGAGTTATGAACTCTCTTTCTTTAACAACGCTGGCTGGCACAGCACAGAGATGCCATCACACAGCTCTGACTCACAGCTGTGACTCCACTTTGGCAGAACTCCAACCAATGATTTAGAACCCAGAAAGCAGAAGAGGCATTCACAAAGCAAACTCCAACATGCTTATTTAAGACAGGGTAGGTGTTATGCACAGGCACTTACACTTTGTCTTCAGACTTGTCCAGACCATAGGCAAGTGCAGCTGCTGTTGGTTCATTAATCACTCTCAAAACATTCAAGCCAGCAATCTGCCCAGCGTCTTTGGTAGCCTGAGGGGGGAAAAGGAACAGTGCTAACTACTGAGAGACACTAGACGCAATTTATAACTCCCAAAATCTTACAGCCTGATGAATACCTGTCTCTGAGAGTCATTGAAGTAAGCGGGGACTGTGATCACAGCGTTCTTTGCTGCATGTCCCAGGTAATTTTCTGGAAGAAAAAGGAGACAAAACAGAAAGTTACCTTTATAAGAACACTACCAAGTTAGCGTTCATAAAATCATAGAATCCTGAATGGTTTGATTGGAAGGATCATAAAGATCATCTTGTTCCACCCACTTGCCACAGGCAGGGACACCTTCCACTAGACCAGGTTGCTCCAAGTCCCATCCAACCTGGTCTGGAACACTTCCAGCTGTGCCAGGGCCTCAGCACCCTCACAGCAAAGAACTTCCTCTTGATACCCAATGCAAACCTACTGTCTTTTAGTTTGAACCAATGCCCCATGTCCTGTCACCACATGCTCTTGTTAGTAATCTCTCTCCATTATCAAGTAGTTTGAAATCATTTTCCTGAACAACAGTAGGCAGGCTCGATGCTTTCTGGGAAAATGCAGAGGAAGGTATGCAGAAATTCAGTCCTTCCACATAACATGGAATAGTTTGTATACTTCTGACAGCACAGCAAAGCACCTCTGCAATACCATCAGTGACTGCATGCCACTGATGTGAATTCATCCAAGAGCTTTACTGGAATTTTTAGTTTGCAAGACTGAAGCTGTTTTTCAGTTCTTTAGAGTGTTCAACATGTGTTGCACTTAAAACATACTCTTCTTCTTCCTCCCAGCAGTAACATTGATACGGTACAAATAATGCACATATACCAACTTCATGTTTGAGACAGCAAGTCAGAAAAATATGTTTTACACCCAATTTAAGTTCTCAAAAATAAGAGATCAAATCAAACACGGATTCAGACCTTCTAAATGATCAAAATGTGCATGGCACAGTGAGGATGCACAGACAGGCCTCATGCCTCTGCACCAGCCCTGCACAAACCTTACACACTACATTACTCTGTGCTGCTCTAAAGACAGAACCTCCCACAGCTGAGGTCATGTAGCATCCATGCCAGAAGCCAATACACCTATGGGAAACAGAGCCCTGCTCAAGCCACAGGAACATCATCCTCCAAGGAAAGTCAGGTTTATCATGTCTAGATGCTCACATACCACAGTATTTTACCCCTGGGTGGAGCTTTAGCAAGCAGCCAGGACCTAATACTGAAAAAACAAACATCTTTAGACGAAGCTTCAGCCCTGCCCTCCTCACACTTACCACTGGACACACAGTATTTCCCAAGTGAGGATGCAGAAGGCAGATACTGACTGCTGTCTCTGTCTTACACTCAGTTTCCTCAGAAACAACTTTAGCTACTGGAACAGAAAAAAAATTCTCCAGGCCAATGGATATTTCCTCCTAGTGAAGATTTCAAGTCAGCACTAGCTAATTAGCTATTCATTCAGCCCAACAATGGTGCTGAACACTGCCTTTCTCCCTACATGCTACATATCCAGCAGCTGAGTAAGAACAAAGGCACTCAAGCCCCAGCCTGTGCTCAGCTGCAGCCAGGAAAGCACAAAGACTGCAGCTCCCAAGGAAGCAGAGCTCCCCCTTCTGAGTGTGAATTCCATTAGAATGAGGATCAACTCCATCAGTATCCAATTCCAGTATGTATACAGTAAAGCACTAATATCTTGCCAAAGAGCTGAGACTGAGGCAGACACTGATCTTCCTTGAGGCTTCCTGACAGACCACACAGTACCCTTCTCCCTTCTGCCCTGTTCTACCAGGATTTGGGACCAAAACAGCACCTTTAGGGCCGCAGCACTTTCATTTACAACGCACACAGAAACCAAACCCCAACTGTACCAACCTGCAGTCTCCTTCATCTTCATTAGAACAAAGGCACCGATCTGGCTGGGAGAGTAGAGCTTCCCGTGAGCCTCCACCCAAGCGTCGCCATTGGAGGCACGGACAATTTTAAATGGAACGTTCTTACTGGAAAACACAAGGATTCCACACTCAATTCCTGCATCAACACTATCCACTACCAGTAGCATCAGCAGATGAACAGGTACAAGTTCTAGACAAAGAAACCTGAACCTGCCAGCAGCAGCCTCAGATCCAGAGTCCTACAAGTACCAGTATACTGGTCCTGCTTTAATCAGCTGCATCATTTAATCACAAGCCTGATATATGATCATACAGCTTTGATTGGAAATGCCCTCAAGAACAAGAAAAGTCTTCACTGCAAGCATCAGCAAGACTTTTTTCTCCTTCTCTGAAAGGTGATCTGCAGCTAATGCAGTACTATACAGCTTGGCTCTCAGACAGACACAACGAAACCTTGAGACCCAAGGTCAGAACTACTTCACGGTTTCATAGTAGGCTAAGGGGCTGGAATGGAGCTTAGAGACCAACTAGTCCCAAGCCCCTGCCAGGGGCAGGGACACCTAGCAAACCAGGCTGCTCAAGGCTTTAGCCAACCTGGCTTTGAACACTGCCAGGGCTGGGGCAGCCACAGCCTCCCTGGGCAACCCGTGCCAGTGTGCTGGTTTGGGCTGGAGTTAGCTTTCTTCCCAGTGGCTAGTATAGGGCTACGTTTAGGATTTGTGCTCAACACAGAGCTGATAATGCAGAGATATGTTTATTATTGCTGGGCAGAGCTCACACAGAGCCAAGGCCTTTGCTGCCACTCTGGCAAGGAAGTTGTGGGTGCATGGGAGACTGGGAGGAGACACCGCTGGGACAGGTGATCCAAGCTGACTAAAAGGATATTCCGTACCACAGGACATCATGCTCAGTATATAAAGTGGAAGGAGGGACATCTGGTGTCTGTCTTCCCAAGGAAGCGTTATGCGTGATGGGCCCTGCTCTCCTGGAGATGGCTGAACACCTCCTGCCCTTGGGAAGCAGTGAATTAATTCCTTGGTTTGTTTTGCTTGTGTGTGCAGCTTTTGCTTTCTCTATTAAACTGTCTTTATCTCAACCCATGAGTCTTTCTGGCTTTTATCCTTCCGACTCTCTCCCCAATCCCATTGGTGGGTGAGTGTGTGAGCGGCTACATGGTTCTTGGCTGCTCACCACCCTCACAGGAAAAACTTCTTCCTAATATCTAATCTAAATTTCCCTCTTGCAATTTCTCCCCATTACTCTTTGTCCAGTTCCTAACAAAAAATCCCTCTCCTCACAAATTTCCTTCCAAATTCCCTCCTCTTACAGCAACTTCCTCCACCACAGGGCCATGTTTTAAAACACCACAGGCCATGGTGCCCAAGCCCTGCCACTGGCACTGCTCCCTCACTTACATGTCCTTCTTCACTTCCGAGTCGTCGAAGCGGCGCCCGATGAGGCGCTTGGTGGCGTAGAAGGTGTTGTGTGGGTTGGTGACAGCCTGGCGCTTGGCTGGCATTCCCACCAGGCGCTCACCCTCAGCCGTGAACGCGACCACCGACGGCGTCGTCCGGGCACCCTCCGAGTTCTCCAGCACCTACGGAAACAGTGCGCCGTGAAACCCTCACCCTGACAGCACTGATAGGGACGTTCCCCTCCTGACAACATTCCCCTGCACTCACTTTTGCTTGCTTCCCTTCCATAACAGCCACGCAGGAGTTGGTGGTACCCAAGTCGATTCCAATAACTGCACCTTTAATTGCTTCTGAGCTGCAGAACACGTGATGAGAAACACAAAATCACTACTACAGGAAAATAACTACACAGCAAGAAAACTTTCAACCCTGAAAACAGAAAAAGGTGAATTTCCACTTGATGTTGAGGCAAACACACACTGTCTCCTGACCCAAGGCATTCTCCAACACTCACACTGGAATTTAACCTTGGACCTCTGTCTGCAATCACATACTTACAGGTCAATCCTTGCCTGTTTAAAAAAACACTGAAAACATTATTCTTCACCAGAATATCTTTACCATACACATATATACTTTTGATCACGGAATCACGGGACTGGTTTGGGTTGGAGGGACCTTAAAAATCATCCAGTCCCACCCTCTGCCACGGGCAGGGACACCTTCCCCTAGCCCAGGTTGCCCCAAGCCCTGTCCAACCTGGCCTGGAACACTTCCAGGGATGGGGCAGCCACCGCTGGTCTGGGCAACCTTGATGTTCAGACTTGTTTGAAAACATCCACCAGGAGTTAAAATGCCAATAACAAACTGTATTTGTTGATGTGGCATTGCTGAGCCACAGCCAAAGTGAACCATCTTTGTGATCCTGAGGACAGCAGAGTAATTTAGCCCTGAGAACCATGAGTGGTTCTCACACAGGGCAGATTTGAACCTCCTCCTCTCTAGGAAATGGGTATTACCCCTTCCAGGGCTCAGAGAGCCCCTGAGTCACATCTGCATACGTTCTGGAATGGAGGGAGCATTCTGCAGGCAGAGGAGGACTGTGCCCATCACCAGGATGTTACCTTCCTCTCTCCATGCTTCCAGTGGCTCTAACTCTGGTTCCAGTCCCAAGGCAGTGATCTTGGACTGTGCAACTGCTCAGGTTCTCCGTACCAACCAGACCCAGTTTTCCTAACACAAACAGATTTCCCAGTCTGTGTCCTAAACCAGCATCAGCCACAAACCTCTAAATCACACAACCAACTGCAGCTCTTCTCCCATTCTCTGGCAGCAAAAAGTGATTTGAATGCAGGAGCTGCACGAAGTGTACTTTATCTGCAGTGAGGTAGAGCCAGGCAGCACACATTTCATGTCAGTGCAAGACATCTGCACCATCAGTGTTTGAGGTATTTTACTTTCTTTGTTTTCAGTCAAACAGACCTCCACAACCCACACTCTGTGGGTTCTGCTGGCAGGGGGAAGCACTACTCTGAGTTCCTCTGGAGAAACAAAAGATCTAAACAAACAGCCTTAGCAGAGTTCCAGGCACAGGTTCTGGTTTTGCTCCTTTATTCCACGTCTGGCTCCAACAATCAGTTCTGGTGCCAGAAGGAAAACACAAACATCAACAGCTAAACATGACAAGCACAAGAGACACTTACGCATATCTCCTGCTGGATGCTGCTCTGAGAACACTCTGGCTGAGGCCATTCCAGAACGTCTGGAAAACAGAGACATTCTCATGAGAATCTGGTTCAGAACATCAAGTGATCCTCAAGCCAAGGCTCTCCAAGGAAGAGATCCATCCTCTGAAGAGACACTAAGCTACTGCAATATTCCTCCTGCAGAAACTGAAGCTTCAGTACAATTCAGACTAACACATAAACCCCCAATCACTGCACTAACTGAGGCAGCACAGCCCTGGGCTGTGTAAGCAGCACTGAGCCACCTTCCCCACACGAAACAGCCCAGGGACGCGTTACCAGGCAGACACTCAACTCTGACCCTTCAGCCTTCCGCGAGCAGCAGCAGATACACATTAACCGCAGCGCCCAAGGCTCCGTGCCCGCTCAGCGGCACATGACTCACTGCAGCCCCCTCCTGCCCAGCTCCAGCTCCTTGCCATGCCCCCCAGGCGGCTCTGGCAGCATTATCCCTTCGGGAATGAACCTTCAGCACTGTCTCTGGGCAGAGAGGGCAGGGCCCGGACGCC